TGCGCCCCACGTTTTTCGTTTTTCAATTTATTTATTTTTTATTATTATTCTCCACTACAAAAACGTGGTTTTTAAAAATATTATTTTTTATTTTGAATTTTTTTTTTAAATGTTACGCTAAGCAGAATACGATGTATTTGACAAAGTGAACCTATTATTAAACAGTTAAAACGAAATAAATAATAATTTTTGTGTAAACTCTAGAGACTTTACAAATAATTATTAAGTTTTTCAAAGTTATTGCAAAATATTTTAGAAAATTTCATATAATAGTTGTGTTTTGAGAACTTTAAGTATGAAACAAGTAATGCAACTTCGGAAAGCTGACGAGTGCCACGTACGTACTAATTTTTTTTTTTATTGATAAACATTATTTTTCACATTTTTAAACGTCATTTTTCGTTCATCTTTTGCTTTCTCTTTGGTTACATTTAAAAAAAAATTCTCTAAAATATGTTCCATTAACATTTTAAATTTTTTTTTTTTGTAATTTATTAATTCTGAAAATTTACAATAAGTACAGCCTGTTTCTATTACCACAAAAAAAAATTTTAAGTCGTTTAAGGTTCAAGACATTGGCATATCTTTAACAATAAATTTATTTGTAAAATTATTGGCTTTGCCAACCTTACGGAATTTGAATATCTTCGTCAATGTGTAAGAAAAGGGTATTTGGTTGAAAAAATGTTTCATTGAAACATGAACTGAACTACTATTTTGAAATATTTGAGAAAGGATTTAGTCTACCTACCTGACCTCTATTAGAAAGCTGACACATAAGACCTGAAGTCTCTTTTTAAGGGCACTTCTGTCCCGAGCCAACCCTGTCGCCTAACCCCGACCACTTAGTTTTAACTTGCACACATCTTTGTACATGCATCTCTGCCAAATCTTGACCTTCCTCTTTAACATTTTCCGTCAGGTGTCCAAGTAAAGGCGGTGTAAGCGAAGTTCTCCCATTTTAAACGAAGGATATGTCCATTCTATCTCCGTCTTCTTTTCAAAATTCCCTCATAAATCGGTGATAATTTTGTCTCTTAAAGATTATTCAGATTTTTTTTTTATATTTTAAAAAATAAATCTTTATCTATAATAGTGTTAGGCCAGAAGATTTTTTAAATAATTTCCAAGCTTTTGTTTTGACTTTTTTCCAATTATTTAATTCAGCGCCATCTAAAACTAAAAGCGAACATCACCTACAAAAAAATTTGTGTGTGCGTGTTGATTTTCAAAATTGACGCTCTCTAAAATTTTTGGAGGCTTCTGGAACAGGTTTAAGCATTTATGATCCTTTGGTTTGTAAATATCATCACTGCTACCTACTTGATTAATTACTATTGTCAAAAGTATGTGAAAGAATCAACTTCATCAGAATTTATTTTTATCTTATTATAGATTTCGCACTTATTTTTATGTTTTTGCTTTATTCTTGTTAATCCAGAGTTAACCGTCTTGTTAATATTAACTACTATCACGGTAGCTATTATCAAGCTATTATAAGAGGGAAACTTTTACTTTCATTTTCATTTTGAATTGTTTAGAAATTCTTTAAAAAATCTATTTCTGTTGTTACGTTAGCTCAATTAACAACGATATTTTTCTGTCGATTCCTGTTCATTTTTTATTTCAAAAAATATATTCTTGAGATGTTTAAAAATCTTTCGCAGCAATTTATGCGAATTGTGTCAACAGATAAAATTTTACAATGTATAAAACTTGAATTTAATCTGCGCCAGAGCTAAAGGTTGTACCTGTGTTATGTTCCCCCGTTTTGAGAATTAAAAAATGTGTAAAATATTTTGTCACTAAAAGTATTTTCCACGATTTTATTTAAAGCAATTTTAATCACTAAATTTTCGTTAATTTGAGTGAAAAACAAATTCCTAAACTTACAAAATTATTTATGCTCCTTATCACTATTTAGAGGAGTTTTCTCTTCGCCATGGGGCTTCGATCAGAGTTCGATTACTGATGCTATTGATGTTCGATGTTAAAGACTAGGAGTCCAACAAAGGATCGACTGATCGTTGGAGACATGGTTTCCAGTTGATCACCGAAGTCAAGCATCACTGACTACGGACTTCAGTATGCGGTGGATGACCAATTTGATCAGCCTGTGAAGGGACTGAATGTGTGCGGTATCGGTCCTCGTTAAACTTTTATAAAGTGCTCAACTTCACGTGCAGGCCGCTGGTCAACCAAAGCGGAAGAGCCATCCCCTCCGCATAGAATCAAAATTGTAATGGCATGTCTTCGGATCTTCTTCAAGGATGTTTCCTAGACAATATCCTATAGCCCATTGCACAGTTCTAGTGCATTGTAAATAAACTACAGCAACAACAGCTAGATTAGATTCGGAGACTGCACTCTCTCGGATAGTGTTTGATATAATTCTCTTTAAAGATCAGTTATATTGTACAAAAAAAAATGCTATGCAAAAAATGCGGATGCAAAAAAAATTTCGTGTATGCGAATTCAAATATGCGATTGAGAATCTTAGCTTAAAAATATTTACCTGCGAAGAACTCGCCATCAATCAGGTTCTCGCTCACATTTCCGAAATCATAATCAAAATGATTAACTGGAAAGTAAATCATTTATTTTATCAGGTGATAATAAGCAGGAATTATCATAAAGGATGAGTAGGAACGTGCGTACGAATGTTTCGAACTGCAGAAACTGTGTGCAATCGCATTCAATATTAATGGCCTTGTGGTGAAAACCATGTAAAGCTCCTTATATCTGGGTGTATATTTTATCCGAGAGAGGGCTATACAGTCAATATCATAATCGGATTAGCAGCAGTTTAATTCCCGGCTCAGACATTGCATTCTTTCAGCACATGAAAAAATTTTCTCGTGCAGCAGGGGCTACTCTTACTGCGCATTTACATACGATCGCTTATGTGAACAGCAAACAGTAAGAATGGCCCCTAAGTAGATCACTTGTCTTTGTTTTTTGCTCAACTCGGCCACTGCATGGCTTCTCTGGACAACAATTTGTATTTTAAGATATGGCAATACTGATTCCAAAACTAGTCTGTAGTGTTTTTAATAATAACGTTAGTAAGTTACTTAATTTATTTAATAAAAAACAAGTTATAAAGTTGTTTAAAATTGTAGTATGTTGTGAAAATTATGTCATTAAGATATTTTGAAGAAGATATTTTTTAATCCTACAGTAGTTTAAATTTATTATTTACACGATACTTAAATTCTCATATCCTGTCAAAACATATAAATGTTTTCTTTTTGTTTTAAGTTTTTATATTTAAGGAGAATTTTTTTATTCATATTTATTATTTAAATTAAAACAAATAGATTTTTTTGTTTATTAAGTAATAATTTGTTTCATATTTAATAAGTAATTTTTTAAAGGTTATTTCTTTCCTTGGGTGTTGGTCATGGCCGAAAATATGATTCGATTACAAGAAGAGTTGAACAATATACCTCTTGCTGATGAAGACGCTCAAGGTATTGTTTAATTATAAAACTCATAGCAATCTTAGTTTATATTGAATGATTTGTTTTAAATTTTTAATATTTTTTATTTTATTTTTTAGACGACAGTGATGTTGAAACTGAAGAGACGGATGAACATAACGAATTTGGTCATCAGAGTTATGAATCGATACCCTCATCATTTACCAATGGTTCTAATAGTCCTGCACCAGCTTGTAAGTTTTTTGTAGTTTACATTTCTATAGTTTATCGTTGAAACCTTTCCGAAATAGGGTAGAAAGATGACCATTTTTTAGTAAGATATTATAACTAAAATATGCGTATTTACCTGTTTAGGCCTGGGGGTGTAATAAACCCCCATTGACACAGAACTTATGCTAACATATATGTTACAATATGATTTCAGAAAATGCATTTTAACTGCTAGAAAATTCTGACAACAAAAAAAATTAAATTCAGAAAAGGAATTTTATTAATTTTAAATATATAATTTATTCAAATAAAAAGTGGTTAAAATACTCAAAGTGAAACAAATATTATTATATTTTCATTTTTCCGAGTTAACTTCTGTTTTCCTTTGACTGAATAAAAAAAAAGTAGAATTCAAGAATTTCAAGGGCTTTGAAAGCTAATGAACTAAAGTTTAAATATGGATAATAAAAAAAAAAATTAAAGCTTTGTCAAAATTCTTAATTTTTATCCAGTTGGATACCTTAAATCTATAACTCTTATTTATCATTTCAAATCTCTCCTATTAATGGTGTTATTAAAAGTGATATGCAAATACACAATTATTTTGCCAACTTTTCCATTTTATTTATTATCTAGATGTCTCTGATTTTTAACAGATGTTGACAATATTGCATGCATGTACCTGTATTGTATGAATTCCTGTGTTTATTTGAGAGAAATGTCAATTTACTACTTGATAAATAATTACAATAACCATGTTCTAAATATTTGCCCAAGCAGAAATCAATTTGTAGTTAATGTAGCTCACAGTTATCTATTTCTAGTTTATATGCATAATATATATATATATATATATGTGTGTGTGTGTGTGTGTATTCTTATTTATATGCATATTTTTTATAGTGTTGGATCCAGACTTAAGTCCTGATGAAATGGAAGAAAAGTCAAGACTTATTTCTCAAGTTTTGGAACTACAGAATACATTGGAAGGTTGAGTAAACAAAATGCAATAAAATTTGCTGAAATTATTATTTATTTATTTTTTAAATATTTGCAGAAGAACCGAACCTTGGATCTTTTTATAAATCTATTTTAAATTTATGCTTTTAATTAATTTTTAAAACTTATTGTTTGTCTTTAACTTATTTACATGATAAATTTACAAAAAATTTTAATGTTTTTAATTGAAGCCAATATTTAAACTTATTAGATATGAAATTAATAAGTATATGCTTATTCTGTCTATTTCAGCCTAAATGTATTGTTTTATAACAACAAATGTATCATAAATGTTTTAAATGAAAAGTTAGAATATTGTTAAACTATCTATTATCAAAAATTTCTAGAATCATATTTTTTAAATCATGAGTTCCTTAGCTCATACTTCTTGCTAATATATTTCTAAGCTAGTTTCGTTTAAGAACATACAGATTGATTCTTCTTTGAAATCTTTTTTCTCTAAAAAACGTGCGAATTGATTCTGTCATAATTTTTTGTTCGCAGAGCCATCAGATGATATGAAAATGAAATTTTATCATTTTAAAAAAAAAGTTTGAAACTAAATTTTCTTCATTTGAGCATTACATTATGAAAATATTAAACAGAATTTTGTTTTCATTTTTTAGTATTATAGTCCTTAAAATGTTTTCCTCATTGTTTCAATTCTGCTAGTTACTTTCTTTGCCACCTTTGAAGTTTCTTTTTTCATTTTAATGAACTATATTTTCTAAGATTTAAGTTTAAAAATTCTATGAAAGTGTTTATGGAAAAATCAGTTGGTTTTGTTTAAAAATCACAAGACTTTGTTTAAAATTAGTTCTGATTTTTGTCAATTATTACGAAATTAAAATTCTTAGTATTTTGTATGTAAGTATTCTATCAAATTGTTTTTATCATATAGATTTGTCTCAGAGGGTTGACAGTGTGAAAGAAGAAAATTTGAAGCTGAAGTCGGAGAATCAAGTTCTTGGACAATATATTGAAAATCTCATGTCTGCTTCAAGTGTCTTTCAATGCACATCTCCTAAAACTAAAAAGAAGTAAGTGATTTTCTTCCATCTAAAATTATATTTTTAAAAACATCATTTTAGCTGAATTCGTACAGGGTGGTTAAAATTGGTATTCTGAGTTTCTAACAGATTCAAATGAAACTTCAAATATTTCTTACATTGAGCATCAATGTTTTGTCAGTAAAAAAATTGATTGAAATTTTGATATTAGATGGTATTGTGCTATAACCTTATGCAAATGCTGTATATACGCAACCATATATGTATTGTTGTCCAACAATTTTAACCATACCAAATGCTGCATATAAGCAACCATATGTGTATTGTTGACCAACACTTTTAACCATGCTGTATTAAAATTATGTGTAAAAGAAGCCTCAATCTCGATTTTTTTCTTCTTTTTTTGCAAAAATTGTTAATATTAAGAGAAAATTAACTATATAAAGTTAATATTGTTTAAAAAAATTGCTTCTCAACTCATTAACTCCAAGCTTGCTAATCGCTTAATAAAATATTTTCTTTTATTGGTAATATGAATATGTCTTGTTATACAAGCATCTCTAAATTCCCAGTGACTTGTAAAACACTGTTAGCAGTTAATATTAAAGAAAAAAATGCATAATAATTAAGTTTTTCCTACATCCTGCCTTACTAGTTCTACCAGGAAAAAAGCAACTGTCACAATGCCAAATGAGTATTTATTTTTTATTATTAATTTTTTTTAATTATTTATAATTAATTTCATTTTTAATTTCATATTATTAATCAAATGCTTATTAGTTTATATTTTTGGTGAATTTTAAAAATGAAATATACAATTTATTATAATATATTGTTAGTTGTTAGAGCATAAGTAAACCAATTCATGAGTAAACCAGTAATAAACCACACCGAAAAGCATGTTTTATCTTTTCCAATAGCATTTTTTTCTTTTTATTATGGTAAAATTTTTCAGTTTATTGTTTCTTTTCTGTATTTATATTCGCCTTTTCTTTTTTTTTTGCTCAATTGATATTTTTCTAAATTGTAAAATTTTTCTTTTAACATTGTGAAAAAAATTTTCATTTATGTTTTGTTTTTTCTATTATTTTTCTTGGCATATTGAGATTTAATACCCCATTTATAATTTCATAAACATTCCAGGTGACAACCGACATTTACATTGTAACAACCTAACATCTGACTGGAGTAAGTTGTCACACATTATTTCAAACCTATAAAAAAAGAAAATTTATTATCAGACAGTTTGGCAATCTATAATACTGATAATTTGCACTGCTATAATCAGGGTATAATTAAATTTTTTAAACTCTGTAACAATGTTTGCTAGCAATAAAAAATACTAGTAGGTTCACCTAAGGTTCATATTGGCATTATCTAAAGTAGCATCGCAATACATTTTATAATGCTAAAAATGCAATATAATTTTGTGTGATTTATTGCAAAAAAACGGTTACAGGATATTAAATTTTTGAATATGTATACTCTTTTAAAAACTTTTTTATGTTATCTATATGTGTTTCATAATAGCAAAATTATGCACTACATCTGACAATATTAGATTTATGAATTATGTTTTATTACTGATGTAGTTCTGGCTAAAATAACTATTATATTACGAAAGAACATTATTTTTGTACAGTGTAACTAAGTTTTGAAAACTGTTCCACTCTTAAAAACCTGTTCTTAAAAACCTCTTTTTAAAAACCTGTTCTTAAAAACCTCTGAGACCTCTTTTTTGTTGAATGTTTTGTTTATAGCTGCAGTTTTTATACATGCTTCTATAATACAACGCACACGCATATATTTATTTTTAGAAGCTGTTAAAACTAAACATTTTTATGTTATTAAATAACTATTATCTGTCAAAAGAACATTATTTTTTATAGTGTAACTAAGTTCTGAAAAACTCATTATACTCGGTGGTAATAATATTTTGAAAGCCCTCCGAAACCACTTTTTTGTTGAATGTTTTGTTTAAAGTTGCTCTTTTTAGACATGCTTCTATAATGTAACACATGTATTTATTTAAAAAAGTTATTAAAATTAAAAAAATTTATGCACATTATGCGTGTGCATTTCCAGAAACTAAGGGGTAGTGCGGATGTGGTGTCAAATAACAAAAAGAGGCATTGGAAAATATTTTTCGGCAGCCACTTTATTTTATTTAGTTGCCAAGAGACGACCACTAATCTTGCCCTTTGACAAAACATGTTTAGATAAAAAAAATTTATGAATATTATCTAGTTTATGCTGAAATAGCTAATTTGAGTAATATATCAAATGTTTCTTTTTTAAGCTTCAAGTTTTTTTTTTCTCTTTGTCATAGCTTTTTTATGTTAGTAAAAGTTTTAAAAAAAGGATAACAAATCTCATTTTTCGATATTCTAGAAACTCAATTTTTAGATTTACAATGTGAAGACATTCCAAAAAATTTTCTTTCATATGGTAGGATTGATACAAAATGGTTATTTAATCAGTAGTAGGGAAAGTAATGCCTACAATGCGTTGGCTAAATTAGAGCTGGCGATATTGGCCACTCTTTACGGAGATCAATCTGTAAAAGAATATTAAACCACATCAAAAAAATCCTGACTTAATTTTGTTCTTTATTGTCAAAATTCACCTGGGAGAATTTTTCGACTGTGAAGATTAACTAGAAAAGTTTTAAGAAAGCTATCATATTAAGTTTTGAAAAATTCTAAATCAATCACTCAGACTGTAATGAAGCAATATATCAATTTACTATTTTATATTTTTTGAGGTAAAGTTACTTAGTATAATTGTATATAATTTAAATGATGAGTGATTTGTATTTAATTTATTATTGCTTTGCTTACTACGCTATGCTGTGGTCTCAAAACGTTTCAGGCCTTTTGAATTTCTGAAGTTAGCATGTCTTAAATTCTGTTTACTGTCAGGTGTATCCAAAATAATCTTTCTTTTTCTCTTGCTTAAATTCCATGAGACAGGATATGAAAACTTAGTAGAGAATGAGATCTTTCAAATTTTGTGTAAAAAATATTTTATGTGATTTTAGACTCCCCTTCTACTTTTGTCAAGAAATAAAAAATATGTGAAAGTATATTTTTTGCAGTACATATTCATTTTAATAATTTATGTAATATATCATTAATTTTGTAATTTAATTGGATTTTTTCATTAAAAGTAATTTAAAGTATAGCATAAACATTGCTACTACCTTCTCCCTTTGCTAACAGTAAACCCCCTTTATATGCCTTTGTAATATTTGAATCACCTCTTATGCATACCACTAGAGCTGAGGATAGCTAAAACTTTGATGCCATGGAATTGTGGAAAGAGTGTTGCAACAATGTCAACCTTCATCTATGAAAAAGTACCAACATGTCTTATATACTGGTGAATTTGAGTTGAATAATTGTAGCGGTAGATGCGATACCAGAATTTTATCTGTGATAAAATTCGATGAATGGATACTACCAGTTGAGTCATTGCTGTATTTGTGATAAGCCAGTAGAGATATATTAAGATCATTGGACTTTTGAGTGCTAATTGTGAGAGCTGTATAAAGTTCAAGGTCGTTCCTGTGTTGCCATTAGCCATCGAGTGTATACAAGCTGGTGTGACCAAGCAGCAACAATCTGAAGAGGAGGACAATGTCACAGTCACAAGTAGAAAATCAACTGTTCAATGTGGACCATCTATCAAAGTAGGCACATTCAAATAAAAGTGGGCATTACTGTCAAGATAGGTGTGATCAGATCATATCACCAATGTGGAGTTTTTGTTTCCGACAATGTTAACCATCATCTATCAAAAGGTGCCTCAAGATAGAATCAAGTTAACATGTCTTACATACTAGTAAATTTGAGTTGAATAATTGTAGTGGTAGACACGCTACGGCATCTAAGTGTTTATTATTTTTACTAAATTTCCATTAGTTTTATTTTGAAGTGCTAGTGTCTAAAATTGGATCTGTTTTCTAGAATTTATATTTCTCATTTACTTAAGTTTTATCAAAAATTAAAAGAATTTTAATAACAAAGTTATTTTATTTTAGGGGTTCATTCAAAGGAAAGAAGTAAACTGCATTTAAGTGACATTGTTCATCTGCATGAAAGTATATACTAGTCTATTCTTTGCACAAGTGAAAAGATCTTTATGTTAATTATAAGCATTTGAAATGTTTATGTACGTGGATGTCATTCATTTATGTTAAAGGGTTACTTCTTTTGTTACAACTGCAGCTATTTATTTATCTTAGTCTTCTTCTGTAAATTCTCTGTAAATAGATGCAATTATCTAAATTTTAATGTTGACTTTCTTGAATAAAATCTTCTACACCTGTATTCTATAACTTGATTTACTGTACTACAAAGCATGTGAACAGATACATCAGAGCACTATTTTCTGGACAAGTTTGGATCAAGGTGTATTTAGTTTTATATCCGTCATTGAACAGCCGACCCAATTTTTGGGTCTACGATTACTGGTGTTCAACTTGTAATTTTGAGCCAATCCCGAAGCCAAGGAAACTCCTGAATCAGTACCTCCAGAGGTATTGATTTGTTATGGGAACATGGAGGACTTTGTGACTTGACATATTTAACATGCATCAGTCACCAATTACTACACGGGAACTCTTAAGACTGCAGGGATTGAACATTGGTTCAGTACCCTACCAACCAGGCTATTCCGGCCCCAGGTTGATTTAGTTTACAAAAAATCTAGATAATTCAATAATAACTTTATAAAACTGCTATATAGTTTGTCTATGCTAAGAACTCTTCTTGCCACAAAGTCTGAGGCCATCTGGAGCTATGGAAACAAGAATGGCACATTTTAGGGAGGGTAGCTTCACTCTAGGACTAATGCAATAGACCAAAGAGATTCCCTTTCTCTCGCCAAAACATACCTCGTTACCATAGTCACCGCCACATATCCAGATGAATGTCTGGGGAGTTCTTATTTTAGGCAAACTATAGCTATGTTTTCTTTTAGAAAACTTCACACTTAGGATTAGCAAATATATAGAAGAATATATTTTCCTCTCTGCAAAGAATGCTAGTTGAGCCCATTTTCAACTGCATTACAGATCTTTATTTCTGGATTTGATCTAATTCCAAAATTTTCTGCATTTTTGCTTGATATTAACAATACCCTCTTTCCAAAGACACCAAGAAATATAAAAAACAATTTTCAGGCCCCTTCTAAATATAAAATTTATTTATTTACTGTGAATTGATCCTTTTGATATAACAATGCGGTTAGCTGCACCCAAATAAACAGCTCTATAAAATTCTAAATATTTTGTCTTTAATGTCATAAATCCGATTAATATACAAATAGTTACGCAATACTTAAAATGTTATGTACAGCTAGTACAACACACATTCTGGTGATGCAGTCGATAAAGGGTCCCTCACACTGGTTGGGAAACTGGGGATAATGAGTTCGATCCTGACAATTGGCATGTATATGTAGATAGGTACGTGTTAAATTTGTTGTAATTGAGAGTCCTCTCATTGGTCATGATGCCGAAGTTGGGAGAGATTGGTACCAGCTCAGACGCTGCCCACGTCATCTGACCAGGTTCAAAATTATATGGCTGTTGAAAAATAAGAGCCTTAAAAATGGAGCTAGGTGCTTGGTAATAGTTGGATGATGACAGCTGATATAAGTGTATTCATGCTAAATGCTTTAACTGAAATATTAATGCCATAGATTTGTTATCTGTTTTTTTTTAACTTTGTCCAAAAGTTTCAGAAAACTGTAAAATTCTTTACCAGAGTTTAATGCTTCAAAAAAATTGCTTCTGGTTCCTAATTAGTGTATTGGAGTTGAAATATGTGTTCTGATTGATTAAAAATATGTATGCCATGCATTGAATATGTTTAGGTAGGGAAAAATTTGAAGACTTGTTGGAACTAAACTGTTAGATCTAGAAACTATGAGATATAATCTAGATTGTTGGTACAATATATCATTTCTAAAAAGTCATAGATGTACTATTTTTCTTTAAATATTTTTTTTTTCTAAAATAGTCAAATCACCCAGTATACATGTTAACGCTATTTGAAATTTAGAATTTCAGTGAAAAAGTAGCAGGCATAAAATTATTCTGGAAACCATTAAAACTTTGGTTTAAACAAAGTAATTTTGAAATTAAATATATATATATATTATTATTTGTGATAAAACTTATTTTTATTATGCAAGATCACAATAATATCTGGATACTATTGGACAGTCTCAGTTTCATACAGTACTTATCGCATTGGAGGAAGGTGAGAGACAAAACAGGAGCATCAATCCTGCACAAACTTAAAATCCTCTCACGATTGCGTGAAGTCCACCTCCAATGGATCCCTTCTCACTTTGGGGTTCCGGGCAATGATATTGCCGACACTCTGGCTAAGGAGGGGGCCAAAGAAACTTTGATGAGTCCAAATTCACTCACATTCATGGAACTGGCATCGAAAAAGAAGACAATGTTTCCTGGCTCATACCCCCTAAACATCACTGGCACCCGCCCAGGAGGTGCACTCAACATTCGGTGCAACCACAAGGACCAGACGGCGCTTACCAGCGGCCACCTTAAGTCTCTTTCTTTCGAGAGTAGAGTTAAAATCTTCCCAAACTGCCCCAGGTGCCACAATGTGCAGGCTTCTCCCCAACATATCCTGGACTGGACAAAAGGGACATTCTAAATAATCGTGGCCGACTTCCTCCGGGTCATGAATTTCATGGATATTGTTTAGCCCTGCTAATTCTGGGGATAAGGAAGAAGAAGAAAAAGTAGTCTGGTATTTCATATCTTTTTAAAAGCATGCTGTTCCAAAAAATGGCCCGAATTTGGTCCCCATTTTCTTCTTGGGCCTGAAACCAAATTTCTTAAGCTAAAACTTTGATAAAGTGTTCTTAAATTTTAAAAATTGAAACAGTATTTTCAAAACTTAAAAAAAATACTTAAAATCATACTTTTAAGTTGCTTAAAAAAATTAAAAAAATTGCTTCCATGTAAATCACCTATGCTAACAAGGAGGAAAAATTTCTTTTATATCTAAAGGATACCCTTAATTACACTAATTAGGAATAATAACACAGACTTGGTCCAAAAAAAAAAAAACATTTTACAATTGTTATAAAATATTTAATTATTAGCTGTGGCAGTTATAGATAAAATAAACATTTTGATATATTTATAAATCAATATTTATCATAAGGGCTTCAGGTAAACAAGATTAGAAAGAGATTAACTCATTCACTACAAAGTCATTGCTTCAAAATATACAACTCTTCATTAAAGTGACATTTTTTAAAAAACCTTTTCAGCTCAAGTTACGATTTTTAAGTCATTGGAACAGTTAAGTAGTCTTTAAGTTGGGGTCCTTTGCATCTTTATTTTTAGAGATCTGTGATGATTGCTTGGGTGGTAAAATTATAAATTTTATAATGTCTCCTTTTTCTCTAATCTCTATAATCCTACATTCTTCTTTAATTTCATCTTGTATTTTACTTAGCACATTTCTCTGGAAAATAAAACAAAAATATATAAACAAAGCAGTTTTATGTAGTAACACAAGTTGATTTTATTACTACCATATATACCAGATTATAAGTCGTTTTTTCAAACTCCCAAAATTTTACAAAAATCCACTTTTACACCAGTAATTAAGTTGGAGATTGATTGATCATGAAATAGTGATGTATCATAAACAATGAGATAATATGAATAACTTTATCTCTTTCAAACAATATTTATTCAATTAATTTATGCAATTGATAATTCATTTTCTCTCATATTTTCTTTACATATAAAGGTGTTTTTAGAAACAATACTTCAAATTACATTTTTAAAAAAAATTAAGAATACGAAAAGTTGAGATAATTTAATTAATACAATGAAAACTCTTAAAACATACTATAAAGCTTTGAATTTAGTAATTCCACTTACATGCTAAAACACGTTAAATACACCAAAAAAAGTACAATTGAAAGTTATAACGCATCCCATGGGATCCATAATACTCCAGACGGAAAATAAAAAAATTACCTCGCCAACAGATTTATGTAGACGAAATTATAACCAAAATTTAACAACTTTTTAATCAATAATAGCTGACAATAAAAATTAGAATAATTCTGAATATCTAATTACATTGTTGCTTTTAAATGGTGTAGTGTTTTATCAGACTTAATTAAAAAGCTTGATTGTTCACATAAAACTCTTTTTGTTTTCAAATTCTTTATTTTATCTATTTAATAGAAAGAACAATTATGTGCATATATCAATAAAAATTTTTTTTAACAGGAATCCGCTTTTAGTAAAAGGGTACCCAGAAATATGGAAGTTTGCAGTCCTAAAAGTACCCATAGTTTGAACACTGAAATTTAAAAATTCCAGAACATCAACTGTGTTGGCTTTAATAATATTAGCAGTGTCGTTATACGGATCTCACACTGTAATGGATTTTATTTAATCCTCGACTGCTGAGTCCCACAAAAAAATTATTTACCCCCGTCCAAATAATTTAAAATCCCCCATTTTTAAAAGAATTTAAAATGAAATAGAAATTTTGTATAATACTTCATCAATAGACTTCTACACTAAACATGCCAGAAATTTGCCATCTTGTAATCAAAAATAGGGGGTCGACTTATACACCCAGATACACAGTTTTTTATTCGCATCTTTACAAAATGATCATTCATGAAAAAATACATAGACACAAACTAAATTAAGATCAGCATTTTAACATAACAACAGTTATGCATGTAAAAAGTCACTTATCAAACTGCAGTCTTTACTTACATAAATAAATACATACTTTTTTCATGTTAATGAATAGTGGAAATGTTCATAGAAGAAAAACACTATCTCAAATTCGCATATTACAAACCAAAGGAAGGGTTAATTTAGATTTATAAGTTTGAAAATCTTCCTTTAAAAAATGCATGTGATTTTAAATTCAAAACATTTTTGCTGCTTCTCTATGTTCTACAGCAAGATATATTTCCATTAAAAAAATAAAAGTGATGTTTTGAGGGGAAAATAATAGCGATTTGCATAATAATTAATATAATATTAATAATTATAATATAATTGGAAGTGTAAAAGATTATTTAGTTAAGGTAATAATAATAAAGATGAACATAATAATGATATTATGAGAGGCAGATAATAGCGATTTGTAGCAATAGGTGGCACCACTTAGGCGAATAAGCTCTGAGTTTTGGAAGATCTGGTGCTTAGAATTTAGGATAGGAAATAAAATGAGACAAATATATTAGATAAGATATAATGATTGTATTATAAGAAATTATCGATTAATTATTGGTAGTGTTATAAGAAATTATCGCCATAAAATATTAATAATATCTTGTAGAAATTAAAAATAAAATTCAAAAAATAAATACAATGCAGTAAAGTAAGATAAACAAATAAAACACAAGATTTACAAATTTAAGACTTTTTTTAATTAAATTAAAACGAAGGAACATAAGTAAAAAAGTAAAATGAACATAATTAAAGAAAAACGAGAGAAATTTGGTATAAACTTTAAAATGAGAAATTCATCGCAATCAATATTATTCATTCGTTTCTCAGACGATCCATAACGTATCTCCTGACTTCAGGAGGAAGATTCCTGATGGCCTGCCTCAAATAAAACAGTCTCTCCATTTGTCTTTGAAACAAATACGACTCTCTGTCATTCACAACAATTGTGTATTCTTCTTCTCTCTCAGGCATTGTCGATGGATGAACTGCGAAAATTGAACTTTAAGCATGATGTCAAAAAACACAAAATAAAAATTATGGAAAAAAAACATATATATATTTTTTTCTTTTTCCTCCCCTTTTCAATCTTTGATACTCTTGGTAAATTGAATTGTGAATATTTTCCAAAAAAGATTGAAAAAAGCGTTACAAATTTATAAAAAGGAAAGAAAAAAAACATTTAGAAGGCTCTTTTTCAAGGCTAATTACTAAATTTCCACTAAAACCGTAGCATAGTATCGTTTCCAACTGCGTAGGCTCGATAACTAGAACTTTCCTTGACACAGTTCCGTTTATTTAACGTGTACTAACCGGTGTAGTGGCTGCTGTAGTTTAATCGCTCATTCTTAAGTGGTACATAATCACTATTGGTTCTATATACTATCAGTATAGATCTAAATCTGAATAGAATAGTATATAACATGTAATATAATAATATAAAATATAAAAAAAATACTATATAATATAAAAATAAATAATATAATAATAAATAATATAATAATATATAGTATAATAGTATTTAATATAATAATATTTAATATATTAACATATAATATAATAATATATAATAATAAAAAGTTATAAAAGGAAGAAAAAAAACAATTAAAACACTTAAAAAGAGCTTAAAACTAACTAAAAGGCTTAAAAAACAATAATAAATTGTTAAAATCATTAGAACCAGTATCTTTAAATCAGAGTTACATGGAACTGATGACGCCATTAGAAAACACGATATTAAAATGTTCAACTTTTATGAGCATGTGCAATTAGCTTGATGCTAGCAGATTTTAAATTCAATTAATATTCATCCATTGTTTTGATTTAAGGAAGCATTTTTATCGAAGATTGTGTATATTTTTCAAAAAATTATAAAAAATCAACTAATTGGGTCAAAGAAAAAATTAAAAGATGTTCGTTTTTGAAATATTTCAAATTATTTGTGATGCGAAAATTAAAAGGTTACAACAAAATTTACTATTCATACATGATAGAAAAAGTCTTTGTTTACATAAAATTTTAGCGAAAAAGCGTGTTAAAAGGTCGTTTTTTAACGATAATTTGTTTCCGTTATAGCCATAAATTTTGAACCGATAGTTCGAATCGCTAAAATTTTACATGACTACAAAGACAATCGCATTGCAAAAAAGAAAATATATGCGATTAGGAAAAATGACCATATTAAGCCCCCCCAAAAAAATGTTAAAATTAGCGAAATTTTTGAAAATTGCGTAAAATTTTTTTCGGAAGCCTGAAAAATTGGTTTAAAAATTTTTGGATTTTTTAAAAATAATATTTTTTATTAGTATAGATTGCTAGTGAAGTAAAAAAAATGAAATCTCGAAAAAATGACAATATTTACTATGTCCAAATGTAATGAAAGTGTATAAGTTGACTATCATAGCAATTTAAGGGATTCAAAAAGTCAAATCATAGACAGGAAAATAAAATAATATAGCTAAATTATTTAATGATATTTAGAACATCTGCACTATAGGAACCAATAAATATATGGTAATAAATTCAATGTTGGCTCTTCTATTGTATAAGTTCTGCAGTGCGTAAAATTCTTATCAGAAATTTGTTACTTGAGATTCAGTTGTTAAAATTTTAGCTAATAGTACAAAGAGGGCTTGCAGGAAGAAGCAGTTTTTTGGGGCCTGCATAAAATTTTGCTTTTATGTCACCTGATTACTTAATTATTCTTAAGCGTAAAAGAACAATATAAATTTTCTTTAAAAATCAAAAACCCATAAATTAATGTTTACAAAGTATTAATATTATATTTTGAAATTAGAAATCCTTTTAAGTTTTACACATTTCATCTTTAAGAAAATTAAATTGTAGCAGGTTATCAACTTCCTACGTAGAAAATTGATTTTTTAATTTTTTTTATTGTTTAGAAAATACTTCCTTAATTTTTAAATAAATCTTTGAATTACCTATATATTTTGAACACGTTTTGGTGAAAGAAAATTTTAAAACATAATTTATGTACTGTAATGTTGAAAGATTAAATTTTTTTTAACTGCTACATTCAGAATTTTAACTACTGACATATTTTTAAAGGGATTGAAACTAAATTACACAATCTCAATTGTTCTCTAAACTTCATACATCAGGAGGGGGGGGAGGTATATTAACTCTGCAGAATACCTGCAAAAAGATTCATATTTTTAACTCTTTTTTTTTTCAGCTTTAATTTTGATGAATTTAAATCAATCATGATTCATGAGAATTTTTTATATTTGTCAGAAATATTGAGGGGGGCTTTTAGAGCTTTCTAATGATGGAGGAGGGCATATACCTCTGTCCCCCAGCATAATTTTAACTTTATAATTTCAGTGCTTTTTCCAAATCAATTAAGATTAGTTTGAAAAACAGTTATAAAATTTTTTTATGCTAGTTATGTAGGCACCTATATGCAAATACATATAATAAAAAGATTATGTTAATACCTTACCATAGCAGTCATGTTTTCTGCATTGCCAGTAATTGCAACATGAACTTCACAATTCTTTACAACCCATTTGCGAATTGTTTGAATTTTGACTTTCAAATCATGGTCTGAAATTCTGGAACTTAAAGGTAATTTTTTTAAAGTCTTCGCAGATGAAGTTTTAGATTCTGTTTTTAAAACCTCTGTGCTGGACATCAGCTTGTAAGCAGGATAAACTTTTCCAAATTTTGTATCAAACACTCTAGTTAATCTGCAAGAATAAAATATTGTTTAAATAAAAACAGAATAATAGTAATGTTCTATGACAAATTAAATAGTAAGTACAAGAAGTATTATTTAACTAAGTGTTGAAAAAACATGCAAATGAAAATAGTCAAGTTGTTTTACTGTAACAAATTATATCCACTTTAAATATAATTTGAATTGTTATTGAGATATCCAACTGGGTACATCAATTTCATTCAAAATTTTGATTTTTTTATTATTATTTTTATATACCATTTAAAGTATAGTTTGTTAGCTTTCCAAAACCCTATGTAATTTTCATCTTTGATTTTTAAAAAATGTAGTTGTTTTTTTATGTGCTGACAGACGAAACTGAAATTGGAAGTAAGATCATGAAAATGAAACCAATATGATCTTTTATTTTGCTTTGAGCATTTAAACCCTTATTTATTTGAATAAATTATATTTTTTATAGAAATAAAATTCATTTTCAGAAAATAATTTTCAAATTATTATTTTTTTGCTGTCAGAGTTTTCTTGCATTTAAGATTTTTGTTGCATTTTAAATGGATATTTCGAAGAATGTTGATTTAGAGAAAATTTCTTTACTCTAATACATATTACAAAAAAATTTTATTGTAAAATTCTTTGAAATTTTGAATATAAAGTTTGTATAATGTTAGTGAGGTTTTGAACTAAAGGCTAAGGTTTATATTTGAATTTGTTATTTTTATCAAGCTTTAAGTAAGAATATTTAGAATTTTTCTGTAAAAATTTGATGTTAAACAATATATTTCATACTATTTCATTGCTTTTTATTTTAATTTTTTAAGATTTCAGGTCAAAACATAGGCAATTACATTATTGATCTAGAAAAGAATTTATTTAGAAGTTTATGCAAAACAATTTGTTGTAGAGCCTTAGCACAGCAAGAAAAAATTTTAATTTTTAAGCTCAAATTTGCTCTTTTTTTGAAAAATATTTTAAACATTTTTAAACATTACTTTAAATTTATAATTTTAGGACTTCTACTTACCAAATATAAAATTAGTCTTTTTTTTTTCAAAAAAAAAAAAAAAAAAAAAAAAAAAAAAAAAAAAAAAAAAANTTTTTTAAAAAAAAAAAAAAAAAAAAAAAAAAAAACATTGTCAAATAATCCATTAGTATCTTAATATCCTTAATATAATCCTTGTATAATCCTTAAATAGGTATGAGATTGCAAAAATAAAATAAAAACTCAAGTGAAATGAATACTAACTTAAAAACAATAAAAAAGACTATTGTATATGCAGCAAAAATATTAATTATTGCTGTATTTTTATGCAGCTATAATCAATATTTTTATTTACATTCTGCTTCATACAGTGAAAAATATCAAATTTAACACTATTTAATAATTCACAACAAGATTTTTAATAAAAAGATTAATACTTCCTTATTCAATATTGATTAATGATCTATCAATCCTTTACCCTTCAGAAAATATGTTAGAAAAGTATTAATATCATTTTGAAAAGTTGGGAAACAAAAATGTTTAATTAAATAAGAATATACTTTTACATAAAAATAATATTTTTTGATATAAATATGAGAGACTTGTATAAATCAAACTGGCTGCAGAAATCTCAGTTTAATTAACATAACTTTTAATTTAACAAAATATAAATTGGTGATTGATCTTTGCTTGCCAGCACCTCACCTCAACATTAAACAATACAAGGATATTTGCTCAGTTTTAATTTTTATGAAATGCAAAAAATTATTATTAGAAGATTTTTATCACCCTGTGATTTTTGCAAAAACACTACAAAATTTTGGTAAATGATAAAAGGAGTAATCTTAAAGAAATAATTTATAAGAGAATTTCACAGCTGATTAAAAGTTTAAATATTTTAGCACATTTAAATCCTTTCCTTCTCTTTCCCTTGTGGTCATTTTAACATTACATATGCAAACTTTTGGTAATTTTGGACCACCTACATCAAAGACAAATATTTTTCAACAATATGCCATAATAACTAAAAATATAATGTGAAGAGCCAATAATAATATTAACATAAGAATGTAGTCATAGATGTAGGAAATCTTTGAAATTTATTTGAAACCTCAGCTGCAACACCATGGAAATATTCTAAAATTTAACTAGGAAAGGTGTGTTAAAATGTCTGTATTAACTTAGCCTCTGTATGTTAAGTATAGGGTGACCTGGGGTAATTCCTAATCAAAAAACGCAAACATCTATTTTATGAAAAAACTATTCAAAATAGAATTTTAATATTTACTGGAAGTTTGAGGCAATATGAGATGAGTCCAATGCCACCTTCTTTTGTTTGAAAATCTAATTGGAATTTAAAAGATTTCAAATTTTTAGTGATCAGGAATTACCCCTGGTCTTGATCATTTCTGGGGTAATTCCTGATCACTTCTGGGGTAATTACTGATCACCAGTATTTATTGTAAAGGGGCTGTTTAAAAATAATTATATAATGGTAATTAACAAATAAGACATCAAGATCAAACAAATAAACCAAAAAGATATGTTTAAGCAGCTAATAAAATTATTTATTTAAAAGCAAGAAGAACGATTAACACTTAAAATTTTCAAAAATCTTTGCATCATGCCATACATTTTAGGCAATCAGCCAACTCATTCTCATGTTCTTCTGAAATATAAGAGAGTTCCCACATGTGTTACTTTTGCTGGATTTTTTAACTTCATTAAGGGAAAGTGTAAAGTTAAGCAGGGTATGTCAACAGCTCTAACAGTAGCTCTCACACTGAAATTTTCATTTTCAATCATTAAAAGAAATTCACTAATTTTGTTTTCTAGAAGCTTAGTATCCTTTTTAGGGGCTTATAATTTCTCACCATATTTATACTAGGCTAATTCATAATTTTAAAAATTATTCTAACAATTATACTAGGCTAATTTATAAACTTAAAAATTATTCTAACGATGTACACACATAAAATTTAGATAGAAGCAAGGTAAAACAAACCAGAAATGGTGCAAATCAGAATGCAGTCTTGTATACAGTTAAAAACAAATTTAGTGATGACAGTTAAAATATATTTTATAGTTGTTCCACTTAATAAATAACTGTTATTTAAGAAAAGACAATTAGGTATTTATAAGCTATTTCATATACTATTTATAAGAAGAAATGACAATGATCAGGAATTACCCCAGTGATCAATAATTACCCCATCTGTAGAGAGCAACATTTGATATAGTTTCCTACAATCAATTATAATGTTTACAGTAGATGTGAAGCAATTAAGCAAAAGCTTACACTACTTTTATATCAAGGAAAAAGAAAGTGACTCAAAATATTTATCATTTAGGGAAGGAGGGGGATCTTTGCAGAAATGTGCACATTTTGAAACTCATCTTTGAAATGGAAAATACAGAAAGCAGTTTAAAAGATACCTATTTTGTTAGATTAAACAAAAAACTATTATTAAGTAAATGTAGTTATACTTTAGTTAAGTGTACAAGCATTCTTGTCCATGTCTTAAATTTAAAAAAAAAATTATTTTTTTAAAATAAAACTTAGGTGATCATTATTACCCCAGAAACGGAGTGATCGTAAATTACCCCGGGTCACCCTAATGCATATATTGTTGCATTTTACAGATACATAAGTTCTAAACAGCAAGAATTTCTGATACTACAGCAAATGAGGAAATAGCTGCACTACTGAAATGAAATTACGTAAAATAAATTCCTTTGAAAATATTTTAATTCCAAGTACTTGCGAGTTTTTCTGAATGAGTTAAAAGTTTTTGCAAAATATGCTACGTAAAATGTTAACAGGAACTCTGCAAGAGCGAAAAACAAGTCTTGCAGAAGAGTTTAAATTACACATACACACACACACATATATATATATATATATAGTTTTGTTTGTTAGGCCAAAATAAATCTAAGTAGACAAAAATTATTACTTTAATAAATCCAAAACAGGAAGATTTCCATATCGTGATCTGCTGCAGAATAATCACCAAGTCTTGAGCAACTTCCGGCAGCGGCCCACGAGAAACTAAGAAAACACATCACAGCCACTACTCGTAGCCACTACCAGGGCAAATATGAACAGGTTTTTTTTTTTAAATTTGCAACTTTAAAATCTATTTGGCGATTGCAGTTGGTGCAACAGATCATGATACAGAAATGTCTCCCAAAAACACAACAAAGCGTAAATTCATTATATGAATAAATATCCCTTGAGACAAAAAAATTAAAACATTTTCTTCCAGAGACTTAAAATACCATTAATCTAAATTAATTGTGCAACTATAGTATTTAATTTTGCAACTATAGTCACACAATTAATTGTGACTATAGTTGCTTACGATAGATTCAGTTTTCTCGCTAATTTCTCTGACTCAGATTTTGGTTTCAGTCCTAAAATTTTATCATTTTGATCCACTAATGTCACTAGTTCGACTGTTTCTGTTATTTTTCGTTTCGGCTTTTTTACTCCTTGATTCTCAATTTTTGGTTGCTCTTCACAGTTTCTTAAGACGTAATTTATACTGAAATGGCGTGCTATATAATTAATTTTTCTACAGCTCTCAAATATTTTAAGCATTTTTAACAAATAAATTTCAATACGGTCAGCTAAACCAGCATTTGTTTTGTTTATTTACAATAGTTGTAAAAGTTGTAGTAAACAGCTGAACTTTATCTTAGTTATAGCTTTGAGGCAGCCGAGAAATAAAGATCCAAAACTGCCAAAAAAAATAAAGGTCTTGAATTATATTCTGCAGATCTTTTATTAAAAAGAAATACCTCTGATATTTTTTACACTATCTATCAAGATATCTATTACATCTAGACTTTCTTTTTAATTTAATAATCCTTATATTTTTTGTAATAAAGATTAATTTACGTGGCAGCAGCTTACACATAGGGTGATTTTTCTCTTTGTTTACATTTAGAATTAATTGTCTTTTATTTATATAATTTAAGAAATTATTTGTTATAGAAATTGTTAATATCATGTTAATACTTTCCCGGTTGTATTCAAATAAATGTATCCTGCTTCTTTTACACGTCTGTAAGTTTAAATTCTCTGCTTACTTCATTCATATTCCTATTTTGAATTTTTTCCCCATAACGTATTGCTCTTAATTTTAATGCATCCAACTATATCGTTTTGTCATTGCTGTTGAACTCTCAAGTATGATTTATCACCGCGAAACAATACAGTTTTTTTCTTAAAAATATTTAAGCACTATTCTCATTGATGATGAGTAATTTATTACCTTATTTTGCAGATTAAAATTGTGAACTACTCCCGAAATAGACCTGTGACTTACAATGGCATCACTAAGCAAACTGGATGCTATTTATCGTACTATAGTTCTGTCTAAATTTTTTACTAAAGGATGGGGAAAACCGGAAAATTTAAAAAGGTATGTAACATTTGATTATAATATTTTTAAATTTAAAAACATTTTAAAATGATAAATCAACTTTAAATTAAGAAAGAATATTGCAATTTCTTTCAAGTTAATTTAAATCTGATCTTTTATTTAATTTGATTTTTTCAATGAAGTTGATTCAGCAGGATTTTTATCATATCCACGGCAAGGCCAAGTGCCGTCAATTTTTTGGCGACCTGTTTAGATAGGTCGCAAAGGGGTAGGAGGAAAAAGAGAAACCCGATCATGACATCACGACGGAAAGGGGGAAGATGGGGGAAAGAAAAGGCGCTCTCTAAGAGGAGAGGACCAAAAAAGAACGGTGTTACCGTCGTGATATCAGGAACGGGGAGGAAATTGAAATAACAGGTACAGAAGATAGAAAAAAAAANATATAATCAACTTTAAATTAAGAAATAATATTGTAATTTCTTTCAAGTTAATTTAAATATGATCTTTTATTTAATCTGATTTTTTCAATTAAGTTGATTCAGCTTACATTTTTATTCATTATAGAATTCTGTTCAATTTTTTAAAATGATTTTGTGGATATGGTAAGTAAAGTGACATGCATTATATAATAAATTTAGTCTATCATATAATTTATTATTCAAATCGGCTAAAATTATTCAAACATGATATATCAAACTTAAAGTGCCTGTTATTTATCTTCCTAAGGTAACTAAAGAGATTATGTTCTGAAAAAGCAATATTAACAAGTTGTAGTATTGTACGCTAGATGTTTGTAATTTAATTTTGTCACTATGTTCAACTAAAATAACTTAAACATTTATATCAAACTTAAGTAGTTTTGTTGCTTGTATATTTCATATAAAATAATTGATTATATTTTCGAAAAGTAACTTGGATATTGTTATTACAAGTTATATTAAACTCAGTGTTTATTATTGAATTATTTTTAGTAATTTTATTTATAAACTGAAGAAAAAAAATATTTTAAGCAGCCTAAAAAATAATAGCTAATTTTTTAAACCTTTTTATAAAAAACTGTTAAAATAAATTGAACTTTAATGCACATATAATCATTAATTTTTTTTTGGCCTATTTAAAAAATGTATGTCTTAGTAGTTTTTTCTTTTAATAACTGACGTTGAACAGCCGACCCAATTTCTTGGTTTTACGACTACTAATGTCCAACTCCGTAGCTTTGTAATTTTGAACCCAATCAATATGACAACGGAACTCCTGGGTCAAGTATTGGGAGCAATTTGCCTTCATGGAGGACTTTTTGATGGAACTAATTCGCATTTGCGTTACATGGAGTGTAAAACTACAAAAACCTTCCCAGTTTAGCCTGACAGCTACGGCTAGGGGCCTCTAACTCATGATCCGTCTAACGAGGATATTTTACTTCAATGCGAGCCAGGTGCAGAATTCGTTTTGGCCAGCCATCAAGATTTATTAAAATTTTATATGTTGTTTAAAATTTTTATTTCAATTTGTGGTCATTTAATTATAAACTCCCTAATTGAGGTTACTTATTTGAAGGCCTAGCTTGTGAGATAAAATTATTCATGATTTAAAGAACTTGTTCGGATTACTTGTGTATAAACATATCTCCCCCTGGACCTTAAACATTAATTAGAGAATCGACTAGTAAAATTTTAGTTAATTTTCTACTCACACATAAGAAAGAAAAAGAAAAGTTAAATTTTGTAAAGGACATAGGGATAGAAAAATTGTCTGAAGACTAAACAAAAAAAGATGTTTATTTCAATTTATATTCTCTAATATATCACTCTATAATATTTAATTTATTTTTCAAATTATATCTTAATCTCATGTTATTGTTATTACATAACAGTATCTTTATATTCATTTACAAAATATATTTGTTTTTCTAATAATAATTAAATTTAAAATTCTTTGATTTAAATCTTTAATTTATTTAAAGATGAGTTACTGATTTTAGTTCTTAAGCACTGAATTAAGTTCTAGGAATCATTTAAATTAAGCATTTAATTTTTAGTTTTATATAAAGGTTTATTCTTTTAAAAAAGTATTTTCGTTTAACTTTGCTTTATAATTTGGGTGATATTTTATTTCTAAATTTGGAGAACCTTGTTCTAGAACAATATTATACATGTTTTTAAATAGTTTTGTCTTTAAAAGCAAGCATTTTTTAACTTCGAACTTTATAATTTCAGAAATCTTTGTGGATGCTTTGTGGCACCAAACATTGTTGTCCACTTGAAATAAATATATTCAACTTTCTGTACAATCTTTTCACTTACAATTATGAGATTTTTGCTTTCGGTCTTAAATTTTTTTAACTTTATTTTAATTGCATTTTATATATTGTATATGTTTTGGTTTCTTTACTTTCTAATATGTTTTTTTTTTTAACCCTTTTAGATTATTTGCTTTTAGAAAAGTGATATCAAATCGAGCTACTTGCCAACGTTTAGTTGATCCTGATTATCCTGTGATTATTGAAAAAGTCAGTAATTTTTTAATCTAAAATTTCTGAAGTCTAAAAAATACTAAGTTATGTTAACGCCACCAAAGTGTTTCATTATTTATAGATATCCACATAAATAAAATTTAAAAGTTAACAAAATGTAATTACACGCATTTAATATAAGTTTTGTTTNGTTAGTGAGATATGAATTTTTAAAACCCCGGAGTTCTTTTATAGACACCCTGTATTATTAAACAAATGCCAGCCATTGACTATTAGGTCATTAGGCTTCTAGCTCTCCTGTACTTCTTAACAATATAGTCAGTCTTTTAGTGCAGAGCACATGTCCAAACGCGCAGCAGTCATGGCTTGTCTACAGTTTATATATATATATCTGTGTGTTTGTATTCTAAAGCTTAATGTATTATTAATATGTTTAAAATTAGTAATGAAATATACTACATTTAGCAGTGTGTTAGAAGCAAAGCTAATCTAAGAATATCACTGTTGGAAGAAAAAAAATTTATGTGAAAGAAAAAAATCGAAGAAAATAGTATTTTATTTTATTTATTTTCAAAGCTTTAGTTTAAATTCTTTTGTGTTTCTAAACTGCATTTTGCTACAAGTATTATGATGCAGATTGTAGACTCATATCATCTAGTATAAGATTTAAAAAAAGAAATCATGGCTTGACTATATAATGAAAAAGATGGAATTGCATTAATCTAGTCTTAATATCTTTGCATTCATTTTATATTCTTAAATTCTGAGAAGAGCTTATGTAAAATTTATTTTTTCTTCCACCAATTTAAATGTTAAAAGCAAAATATGCAATGTTTATTTTGTAGATTGAAAACCATCAAAATTATAAAATATTGGATGGCCACTTAATAAGCCCGTTTGTACATTACTTGCCTGAAGTTGTTCCCGAAGAGTCGAAAATAGCAAGGTAAAAACTATCTGTTTTAGTTTTTAAAAAAATTTATATTTATAACCTGATACTTTATATGCTTAATGCTTTTCTTATGTTCTGCCAGTCTAATAAAATTGAATTGTTTTAAACAGGATGTATTTTTCTTTAAACTTTCTTATTTGATAATTCCTCATTTATATAATTGCTAATCATCTTAACAAAATTTCCCCCAATTACTTTTCTATGAAAGCTATAATATTCTGTTTTTGCTTTTTTTTTTCCTGATAAACTATATGAGGAGCTAAAAAGAAACAGAAATATGTCACTTTAGTTTTCATAAAGTAAGATTCATGCTGTGTGGGTCAAGGGTCTAAACTTAAATATTTTATTTAATTAGTACTGCTAAAGAGGAACATATTTAGAAGGTTTCTGCTGAAGCTATGCATTTATGAAGAAAAAAATTTAAATAAGGACGGATATTTTAAGAAAATTTTTTGAATGGTTTGCTGGTAATGAATTAGTATTTTTAAATGTTAAATTTTTACTAGATTTTCTTAAGAATTATCTGACTTGTTCAATACTTGATTCAAATTTTTTTTTTTTTTTTCTGCATCAATTCTGTTATAGTTAATATGAGCTACACAAATTGTTTTTAATTTGTTTTAAATTTCTATTATTGTGTGATTCATAATTTTTTTAAAAATTCATTTCTTTTGTTATTTACAATTTAAATTGTGGAAAATTAAAGATGTTTTATTTTTCTTTTCAGATTTCAAATTCTTCTTCCTAATACCTGGCCTTGCGAACCTTTGCGCCCAATATGTTTACATTTAGCTGGCACTGGAGATCATGTAATTATTGTTTTGTTTTTATTTTTCATCTGAGGTAGTATTTAAATGCTTGTGGTTAATAGTATCTGATTTCTTAGATTTCATATTCTAAATACGGTTGATGTCAGGGTTGGCTTTTTGCCGCCAGAAACTGGTTTTTGCCAGCCAGTGGCAGAAGCTGGTTATAACCGATAAAAACTGGCAGAAACTAAAAAATCTTCTGTATTAGTTCTAGTAATTGCTTAATGACATTTTGTTTAAGTAAACTGAAAAATGTAACTGTAACAAACTTTTTAATTCATTGTTTGTAAATGTATATTATTGTCATAGCTTTGCAAAACAAATTGGCCCCATTTCCTGAAACTTATTTTTCCAGTCAAGTTTTGACAAATACCCCAGCTGCTACAAGGTGGTTCAGTTTTAAAAAATATGCAATAGAGGGAAGTTTCACAAATCTTGCTTGTTCCTTAAAGGCAATACCTGCTAGTTCTGCTGAGGAGAGAATCTTCTCAAATTTCTCGTTCGTGCATAGCAAGTTGAGAAATTTTTTAGGTTTAGAAACTGCATCAAAACTTGTCTTTTGTTATAGATTACTTCAGAGTGCAAACAATGTAATATCTGATTTTGAATGGTGATAATTTTGTAAATAAATTGTACTTTGTTTAACATTTAATTGTTTTTTCCATAAATTATCCACTGTATGTCAATCTCAATACTTACTTTTATGTCATTATCTCAATTTCTGCCAGTTTCTGCCATGCCAGTTTTAACCGGTTTCTACCAGTGGTTTTAACCACCTCGGCAGAAACTTGCCAACCTTGGTTGATGTAGAGATCCTACTATTGAGACAATTATTTTGTTGTCTTTCACTTAAAAATTCAGAAAATGAGTGTAAATGTTTTTAAAGAAAAGGGATTCACTTTATTTATAGTCCTCAGCAAAGGCAATAACAAACTATATTACTTATTCTTATCTCTCGTGGATTGTGACTAATTCTAAATTTTATAAAATTTTGCTTAAATAAATTAAATGAATTTGTATCATATTAAGACTTATTCCAATTACCGCTCTTAAACCCAAATTATATTCATCCTTATTTTAAACCAAATTATAATCGATTCTTCAAGTATATGAATTTAATTGGTTTTTGAAATAAAAACTCTTCTCTTTTAGTGGTAGATGCCATGATTTTAAAATATATTTTAAACTCTCTTGATAAATCTTAATGAGATTCTGACATACCTTATTCATTGTTTATATCAACCAATTTGATTTGACTTATTTGATAGATTTAACTATTATGTACCAGAGAGATATTAAATATGTATAAAACTATTAAAAAATTTAAGTCTTTATTCTGTCCTTTTAATTATTATTTGGATTATTTATTTATTTAGATTTATATATTTTGAAAATATATAAATTAAAAAGTGTTTCAATACAAGATTTGTTAATAAAGTAATGGCAACATATCTGGAATTTGGCATTTGCCTTTAATCTTCTATAATATGTGATGCATTTTTGCCAAAGCAACCTTGATTTTGATTCATAACTAATGATGACTTCTTATAAATATGATTTAGAATGATTTATAAATATGATTTAGAACAGTAGAAATAACAGTGTACAGTTAAATGCCTTACAGTAACTGCTGATTCTTCTAGAAAAGCAGTTTTACGTACACATCAACAACAGCGCCACCTCACTCCTCCGATATCCTTTTTGCGCATGTCCTAATGTTCTGTGAATTTTTTTTTTTTTTTTTGCTTTGTTGCCATTACTTAATTTGTATTAGTAATATGTTTAAAATTTTATAAATACTTTCTGTTTGTACCTGTTCCTCATTTGCTCAATGCATATGCAATTAAGTTCATGGCGTAACTTTTTATTTTAAAAAAATTTTAGATTCATAAAGTTTTAGTTGAAGTGTTTTAATATATTTTTATAAATTTTATCTATAGTTTTACTGGAGACGAAGGATGTTGATGGCTCGACCACTGTTAAAAGACTATGGAATAGCATCCATTTTGCTTGAAAACCCATTTTATATCCTTTATTTATTTATTCAATCTATCAACTCTTATGTTGTTAAATCTTATAGTTTTATTTTTGTTTTCTAATTGTGGTGTGATAGCTCTTAATGCAATAAGAAAAAAATTCTGACACTATTGCTATATAGAAATATTGTTATCAATTAATTTACTGTATAAGATTCACAAGTTTTTGTTTGAAAATTGTTTTGGATCAGAACAAAGTAAAAATAATAGTTTTCATTCATTTCATTCTTAAAGTTTTAGTTCATCTTACTTCAAAGTGGTAATTTCACATATTTTTTTTAACTCTCTTACAATTTTTATATTTTAAAGTGATATGAAATTATTAGTTCTTAAAGCTATTATAAATAAAGGTATAAAGCTATTTAGAAAACTGCAGAGAAAAAATAATATAATAAGTACTTTATCTAGAACGAACGCTAACTAAACTAGTGATTATGCTTGCACTCTATAACACTTCAAATATGCTAAATATCATTAAAGGAGATCGAAAAGTAAGTTACGATCTCCTGGAGTGCCTAATTTTCTCGCCTGAAGATTTATGTGGTCAAAATTAAAAACTAAATATTTATCAACAAAAATAAAATTATTTTCCTCAGTTTCTTTTTTTATTACCATTTTATTTTTGTTTTTTATTTAGTCATATGTTTTTCTAGTTCTCTCTCATAATTTTATTTATTGTTGTAATTGTAGATAAATGTTATTATTCTCTCCAGATTTATTATTAAATTAAAGTTGAATACTTCAACTTATATTTATCTGTTTGTATTATGTTACATGCAATATACATATTAATCATTAGAATTTTATGTATAATTATTAAACATATGCAGTGAATTACGACTAGTGTTTATTTATGAATTTAAAATTTCAAACCATTTTTTTCTTGCATCATCCTTAACTCTTAACTACATGGTTCAAGGAAGCCCAAGACTCAAAAGTAAGTTTAAATCAAGATACATTTTTTAACTTAATAGTCATTTTCCTTTTTTATCTATTATGAAGCTAATACATCATGTAAACTAGTTTTTGGATTTTTTTTTCTGTATTTTTACAGTATTTTTTATTGAAACTTAGTTAAACCAAGATTATTATTTTAAATATTTTTAAATTATTATTATATATCATTAATAATTTAGATTATTAAAAATTATTAATAAGTAAAATACGCATTTTTCCAGCTGGTCAAATTAATCATTGAAGTCATATTTTTCTTAAAAATCATACATTTTTCTCAAAATCTATGAATTTCATTGTTCTCTACTACTAAGTCAAATACTCATCAACTGTGTGATATGAAAGATTTCATATACCACATTGATATATTGGGGCAAATTACATTGCTATTGAGGCTACACTATAACTTTTTTTTCAAATAGATTAATTTATTGATGGTCTAAAAACTGTTTAGTTATAAAGGACTTTCAAAAAATTTAATAAACAGCTTAATCAATTGAAAGTTCAAGAGTATGAATCTTACAATCCATGGCATGACTTAAAACCGTCTGTTGTTTCTAATGACGCTTGGAAAAGTCAAGCTCATCAGTCACTGATCTTGCAATTTAAGTCAGGAAGGAGCACCTTTTATTTGACAGGAGAGTACTACCAGGGCTTAATCCAGGTTTTCAATCCTAGTACCTATTTTTGTGAGAAAAAAAAATTTTGTGAAAATTTTTATTTTTTGTGAAAATTAAAGTATTGATTAAAAAAAAAAAAAAAAANATTTTTTTTTTGTAACAAAACTTGAATTGTTTTGCTCTTCAATCATTGGTTCCGTAGCATTTTTAATACACTGTGCCTCGTTATCAACTGTGACGGTTTTTTCAGACGGCGACTGTTATGACGGTTTCTCCTCAGTTTTTTCAGACTGAGAAAATGTTTTAATTGATTTCGTTCCTATACTATCGATCGTGCTTAAACGCTTCATATAATAATCGCTATTCCGTGAGCCACAAGCTCCGCTTAAATTTCTTCCTCGCTTCATTATAAAAACTTTTCATAAATCTTGTTAAAAAATACGAATAGAACACGTTTTACGCTAAATCATAACAAAAACACTTGTCTGGGAAAATGAGTTGAGTTGTTTACACGCTGGCTCAATTTAGCCGGTTGCCTAGTATAAAAACTTCACCACTCACTCCGATTGAATGGCGTATTTAGGAGAAGTGACGTCAGCATATCAAGCCTGTTTTCGAGCTAGTGCGGTTGCGCGGAACGCCGTCCGATGGCGTACCATACGGCGTTCACTGTGAATCCACTTTTCCGTGAACCGCTCGGAAAACTATTCAGCACTTTAATTCCTTCTAACTTTCTTTTTTATTTTCGTGAAGATGCGTTTTTTTTTTTTTCTAAGTTTGTTGAAGTACTGATTTTTTGTGAAGGTACCGATTTTTTTTAAGGTACCGAAAAACGGTACCAAAATCGCCCTGGATTAANTAATTTTGTGAAGGTACCGAAAAACGGTACCAAAATCGCCCTGGATTAAGCCCTGGTACTACTAAAGTGAAAGTGTGACTTACCTGAGAACACATGGCTGCACCACTGATTTGGGAGGCCACTCCCACAATTTAAACATAGATCTAAAGGGGAAGTAAATTTTCTCCTGATACATAAATCCATGGTACTGCTCAGCGAGCAACCACAGGACTTTTGATTCCATAGATTCTTTGAACATGTATATCCTGTGCACTCGGTGGATGCTCTAACCTGAGCTATCACAACCCTTAAAACTACCTATAAAAGTTAATTCTCCAGTTGCATTCTTTGAGAAACTTTAAATTTTTTGTAAAAAGAACCCCTGTGGCAGAATCGCGGCGACATTGTCGCAGAACGTTACATAGTTCTTGCAGAAAGATTTTTCTTTTGCAAAGTAAAAAAAAAATAATAATAAATTCTTTTCTACCGAAATTTACATGTAATATTTGAATCATGCATTTAGATAATCACTTTTTGGCGCTCTCAATTTACGACAATAGAATCGTTAATCGATGTTACGTTTCGATTGTATTTTTGACTTAATATTGATTTTCGCGTGAATTTAAATATACCGATACATTTCAAACAATACGGAAAATTCGAATTGTGCATTTGAGAATTTACTTTTTATAGCAATTATTGCTATTGATTTCTCCATACCTTTTAAATCCGATATTTTTTTTGCAATATTATTTATTACAACAATGTAATTTTAAAAGGAAACACATTCGAGGAGTCCGACTCTCTGTAAAAAAAATCAAATGATACTTTTTCTGAAAGTACTGAAGTCATAGGCTCTTGAATGTGTTTGAAAGATTTATTGCTTAATTCTTTTCCATGTTTTCAGGCGATCCAGTTTGCACAATGTGTCTGATATATTCGTTATGGGAGGGTGCTTAATTTTAGAATCACTAGCATTATTTCATTGGTGTGAAAAAGAAGGATTTGGACCATTAGGTATTACTGGAATATCTATGGGTGGTCATGTAAGTATTTGATTTTTGTGTTTCTTTAAATTATAATTATAGCATCTTTTATTTCCATGTAATTAATTTTTTTTCCATGTAATTAGAGCTTTTTCTACTTTCTTTTAATTTTTTTTTACTTTAAATGATAAATTTTTCTATTCCAATTAGTATATTAATATCAATAAAAGCAATAATATAACCTTTGTATATGAAAAATTTCAAGATTAACTGTTATCCAAAATTGTTCTCTTTAAATTAAATATTTTAAAAAATGTTGTCACATTAAAGAAAGTATTTTTGATAAATAAATAGATTCTAACATCAATTATGTTCTTCATTAATGAGTCGTATCTAAACATATTTATTGACAAATTGCTACGAAATATTTAGTCTATGTGGTGTGTGAGTTATTTAGTCTTTCTAAAATTGAATCTTAGATACCTTGATCAGGTACTCATCTTTCTCTTTAAGTATGTTCTAAAGTTGTACCAAAAGGGGCATGCTAAGAATAGATTCAAATTTTTTAAAGGTTTAATGTGCTCACGTTATAATATTAAATTAAGATTAAAAATTTAATATGGATGTGATTTTTTTTTTCCCATTTGATGATTGTATTTAAAGAATTTAATATTCTGTGTAAATGATAAAGTTTTTTGCAATCTGTAGATTGTAAGAAATTGCAGCATAGAATTTCTAGAAATTAATCAGGACTGCAAATCTGATGGTTTTTTTTCTTTATTTTTAATCTTTTTCCTTTCAGGTGGTACAGCAGTTGTAATAGACTAATATGTTGAGAAGAGATATTCAATTTTTAAAGATTAACAAGTTTCTCTAGTCAAAAAAGTATGATAAATTTTTCTCAGTGACTAGTTTACTAATGGGATTAAGCTTATTCAGGAGTTTTCATACTTCCAAGGCACCTTTTTACATTTTAAGCCCCTTTTCTAAATAAAAAAACAATGAAAAAAATTTTCTGTCATGTAATTATCTATTCATCTCTACTTAGCATTTTTAACTTTTTCGTTTGCTCGAGTGATTTGAATTTGGAATATTTGGAAAGCGAAATGCAAATAAAGAGCAAAACAGCAAAGAAACTTGCTTGACATTTTAAAAATAAAATGGACCATATTTCTTTTATCATTGTAATAAAGTCGTTTAAGATGAAATATTCTACCATTAACACTTTCTCTTCACTTTAGAATCACATTTTTCAAATTATTTTCATGTATGTATTCTTAAGTTTGAAAAACAAGGATTTTGAAGAAAAAAATAAATTTTAAAAAAAATTTCTTTATTATTTGTTTTAAGAGTCCTTCATCAAAAAGAATTTCAGAACATGATTCTGCTAATTTTTTTTTACCTTCTAATCTTTAGTAATTTATTAGACTTACAATTTTGAGGATCTCAGAATGCTTACCTTTTCTAGGTAAACATGAAATTCAAGACTTGAAGCTGTCTAAATTATTTTTCTGTATTTCTCTCTTTCCTTTTTTTTACTTCAGGTTTTGTATGTAGTCCCAAATTTGAACAGCTTATCTAAAGTATGAAATGTTGTTTATGTTTGACACAGTTTAATCCATTTGGAATATTGTTCCTTTCCTCTTCAGGGTATAAATACACTTTTTCTTAAAGGAAGAAAACTTTTTTTTTTGCTTGAAACATTATCTTTAAATGTTAGAACTGCTCTTATTATTATGTGATTTTTTCATACTTATTTTAATTTTTTTTTTGTAGTGTGTAAGAAACTTATTTTAAAACTCATTTATTTTGGAAGCATAAAAAGAAATTATTCATTAGGAGCTTTCATTAAAGCATATTTCATTAAAGCATTGTTGCAAGTTTCTCTGCTCTGACAACAAACAAATAGTTATTAATAAAAATATATAAAGATAGAAATGAAAACGCTAAACTTCTGCTTTTTTTTGCTACACTGCTAAAGTATGAAAAATTTAAAACTTTTTACGCAATTATTGTACAAAACAAAATTTTTCTTACTCTCTACTGAAAGAAATTCTGTCATTAATTTTTCAATTCAACTGAGTCTGTCAAAGTATTGAACATTTTAGACATAACAGTCCTGTATAAATTCTACGCTTCATTCAATATTTAATACTGTTATGTTTTTTTTTATCATTATTTGTAAATGTTATTTTTATTATAAATATATGTGTATGTATAATGTTATTTTTTATTATTTGCTAATTTTATTATAATTTTTAAAAATCTTATCTTGTTTTCTATTATGAAACAGATGGCTTCATTGGCTGGGTGTAGCTGGCACAAACCAATACCTATTATTCCCTGTCTTTCTTGGTCAACTGCATCACAAGTTTTCACTCATGTAGGCATTTACAATTTTTTGTTAAATCATACATTTGTAGCCTTTTCGAAACAATCATATATGCATATTCAATGTGGCCCCACTCAGTGTAAAAAAATGTAAAACTGGTATCTAAACTAATTCTTTAGCAGTTTTTATTTATTTATTTTTTGTGGATGGGATAATAGCAATTTGATTTATTTAATTCAGCACTACTTATCTCAAAATGAAAATAAAATTGTTACATTTTGAACTTACATTGATATGTTAAAAGTAAAGTGAAAGCAAAAATCAGTCTTGTCTAATTAGCCATGCTCATATTTAAATTGCTATTTTTTTTTTTTACCATAATAATTTTATACAAATGCATTTATGACTGTCTTATCTCAAAAAGGTTAAAGAAATAATGAGTATTTAGATGTTATTTATTTAATTTTTCTCATTGGAAATGTTCGATATGTTTCTCTTCTTTTTGCATTTTATTTTATTTCTATGTATGAATTTTTTTTATATGATGTTTTAAATTTTTAAAAAAAATTTTTCACAGTTTTACTTTTAGCAAATAACAATGTCTAGAATTTAGAGAAAGTAGTTTGTCTTACTGGGAATAAATACTTAAAGTAATAAGGCTTATTTGTAACTATATTAAATATTTCTGTGAGTTTAAAATTATCCTCACTGTAAAACAGTATAAATTAGTGATACTATCTGCTTGCTTTTTTGCACAGAGAACTGGTTTTATATTTTGCACGGTTTTTGTAAGCTGTTTTGATTTGAAATGTTTTTAACTTCAGACAATTTTCTAGGCTTAATATCTTTTTTGCTTTTTTTTTAGTTTTGGAAATTTTCATACTTTTTTTTTCCGCGGTTGGTTTATACATGCAAGGTATCAGAAAATTAGCTGTTGACTTATACACCAAGATCAATTACATAATTAAATATTTTTTGTTTTAAAAAATCAAGTATAATCTGCATGATTTTAATATTAAATGAGTTATATATTTTTCACTAAAATTGTTTTATTTACATTCCAAACCTTAAGAAGAATTATTATAATTTTTTTTTTTTTTACATCTACTCAATTTTATTTACTTTTATAGTACATTTTATCTAAATATTCTTTTTATAAAAAAATAAGGTATATGGGCTTGTTGTCTTTTTTTTTTTAATTTTTTTTAAATTTTTCATTTGTTTTTCTGGTTACTATTTTTATATCATAAAAATGTATCTCATTAAAAATATTTCCCTGTGTTTATCCTCTCCATTTCTTCAGTCCATGCTTATGGACTTTCGCTTTTTAGCTTTTAAAAACATGCTATAAAAATTTTTTATATTTTTGCACTCACTAAAACATATATCGCGTTTAAGTTTTCTGTGGATGAACATGTAAGTTATTTGGGTAGAATTCCTCATAAACAGAAGTAATTTTAAATATTATATAATTTAATTATTCTGAAAATAATTATTTTTCTTTTGATTCAGTAGTTCAGTGACCTGTGTGAAGCTTTTAAATTTATCTTTACTTAATATTTAAAAATAATATAATCAAGAACATGCAGGTTTACTATGTGTACCTGCACGTATGGCGAAATTTATGACAGCCTAGTAGTCATGTGAAATCTTATAGTATTATGAGTATTTAATTTTATATCTATTCAGAAATATTTTAATTGTATTTTAATTATTTGTTTTATATTAAAGTACATCATACATGCATTTAATGACTTAGACTTTTTCTGTTCTTTTCTTTAATTGTTTATTTTGCATGATTAAAATCATTTTTAAACTGAGATTTAATGTGGTACTGCATTGTACTTATATAAAACTTTGTATTTTTTTAAAATTTATTTTTCTTTCTTAATAATTATTAAATCTATTCATTATTGTATGTAATAGACCTCAATATAACAATATGCATGTTATCTCCTTCTTTAGGTGCCATTTAACATTTAAAATATTCATATTCTTTTACCTAGTTAAAACCTGGGGTCCACTTATGTATGTATATCTAAAATTACTAGCCTCTGGCAGTTTAATTCATATTTTGTTTATCTTGTTACATTTAAATGACGCATGACAGTAAAATAGAAATTTGGAACTGTAAAATATTTTTTTTGCTATATTCCTTTATACTTCAGTAGGGAAGATAAATAAAAGTTCTTGTACGTAGAAAACTAAAATTTAAGTAAAAGAAAAGCATGAATAATATACTTAAATGCATTTGCTGTACTGTGATAGAAAAGTTAATTTATTTTCTGTATTTTTTCATACTTATATGAAATATAGTATTCAATCCGTTTATGAAGTTATTAAATTAGCATCTCTAATAATTAAAGCACTCATTTTAAAGCTGAAACTTTTTTTCAACTTCTTCATTAAAATTACATATTTAAGTATTTGTGTACATTACTGTATATTTAAAATGCAGACAACCTATTATTTTAGTTTTAACTTGTTTTGTGAGGCAAATTATCTGCGTAATTCATTTTTTTTTTCTTTTACTTTTGACAATTATTTCATCAAACTTACGATGTTTGAAATTAAATTTCAGGTTCTTTTTATTGGAGAAGAGTTGAGTTTCTTTGTAAACAATTATTTTTTAATGTTTTAGGGTGTTATGAGTGCAGGTATTCCATGGCCTCTCCTTCAAAATCAGTACTCTTCAGACAATGTCTATCAAGATGAAATTTGGAAGATGTTACATTCGCCCGAAGAGGTATTACATTTTCTTTAAACACGGATGCTACTGTTCCATCTACAGGACAGATTTCTATCTTATTAAAGAAAAAGAAAAATTTTCAATGGTTTCTTTTGCACATTTCTAATTATTTCTCTTTTGCATGATTGTAAGATTTAGACAAATTTTTAATTTCAAACGCATTTAATTTTTTGTTTTTATTTAAAAATCACAATTCTCTAATATTAATAAAATTCCCCTCGTTAAGTGATTTAATGATGTATTTTCTGTTATAATTATTTAAATATTATATTTGAATAATTATTATAAATCTAAAATTAGCTATTACTTTAATTTAATTGAATTAATAATAATCTTCATTAAATTTTCTTATTGTAAGTTTTTATAAAGATAAATTAAGAGACTTTTCTTTTAATTACTATATTGGTAAATATGCTGTCAATCTTGTAAATTGAAGATTTGTTGCAAAATTTCAGATTAATCGCTTCATATAGTTTGTTTAAAACCATTTCAATCTAGTTAGCAATTCAATAATTAATGAAGTTTCTATATAGACTAAGGGATCATTCTCAAATTTATTATTATAAACTTTTTTTTTAATGTTTGGCTGCATTCAAGATTATTGTGTAATTTCTTTAATTAAAAACATTCAGTTTTGATTAAACAGTATAAAAATCAATTACAATTTTCGACAAAATAAAGTTTCAGTATGCTTTTTGGTAATATTTGGATCGAATTAAAATTTCAATTTAAAAAACAAAAATAGAGAAATTTTTGAACTTGCCCATAGATAGGTTATTAGCTGATTTTTATTCTTAATAGAGGTTTATTTGGGTCTTCTTTCTTTACACACAACAAATTTATTCTGTATATTATTAAATTATAATATTCTTCATGAAAATTTTAGGTACTGCAATTATTTCACATTAAACAAATACATATAAAAATATTCAGTCTTGAAATTTTTGAAGGGTGGTACCTTTGTTTGAATACCTCTTCTACAAAAATTATATTTTTATATATAACCTTTTGTATCCTTCATTACAAAATTGGTTTTCTAATTGCAATATAAATAAATTATTGATAAAATTTGAAGAATTCTCCTCTTGCTTGAAAAAATATTGAATCTTCTTTGAATTTGAAAAAAGTATTCAACTTGTTTAAAGAGCAGTTACATCGATGACTTTACTGTATTTCCTGGTATATAAGTTAACTTTTCACACTCCCAAAATTTTCCGAAAATAAAGGGGTCGACTTTTACACTGGTAATCAAGTCAGATATTTGCTTCTCGTGAAATATCGATTCATTATAAACAATGAGATAGATATGACTAACTCTGTATCAATTTAGCCCTTCCAAAAACTAACTTTTAATATGTTATAATCATAATTATGCATTTTCTCTCAAATTTTCTATACTTCAGAGATTTTTTTTCGAAATATTACTTTAAGTTATTAATTATGTAAATTATTTAATTATGTAAAAAAATTAAGATAATTTATTTAAGTGGATTTCAAAAAATATTAAATAATGAAAACTTTTAAAGCATATCATAAGGCTACAAATTTAAATTCTAGAACTTCATCTATGTCGAATTCAAATAACTTTAGCAGTATCAGTGTATGGATTCCTCCTTGCAACGGATTATACTTCAATTACTTAATAATTTTTTCATGTTTTTTAATTTTAGAAATTTTTATATTTGGGTTTTACAGTGGTCAACTTATACACACGACATAACAGAAATTTCCTATCTTGTATTCATAAAAATGGGCTGACTTATAGACTGGGAAATACTTGATTTATAGAATATAAATAATTTAATAAGTTAGATAGTTAAATCAGATTCAATCCTGTAAATAATTATTTACCATTAATGCTTTAGAAATAGTAATGGAAGCATACTTAAATATCCAATTATTTAAAAGGTATTAGTTTTATATTCATTTTTTAGTATATACTCTCAAATTACATCAAACAGGCCGTGTGGTAAATCATTTTTGTACTATACAACAAATTGCAAAATTAACCATTTTTGAGTTTATTTGCAAGGAAAATAACAAAATGATTCCCTGGTGCAAGTGTCTATTCATTTAACTATTTTTCATTAATTAAATTGATTTTTGAGGAAAAGATATGTGTAGTTTGTGTGTCATAAAGTGGTAAACTTATATATTTAGAATACTAAAACAAAATTAAGAGATTCCTGAATACTTGGAAGTTAAAAGAAATTAAACATGAGAATATTAAAATAAAAGAAATATAAAACCTTATTGCTAGGAATGATGCTTGGCTTTTCCAAGCTTTGGTCAATCCTCACCGCTGGCACCATAGTAGAAATTTTCGTGAGACTGTTTGAAAACATTTTCTTTTTCTTGCACGGTAAAGAACCGTAAATTAAGGCTTTGTACAGCAAAGCTTGAAAATTTTAACTTTAATTATTTAAACAGATTTAGGTAAAAACAGAACACTATCCGCTCCACATAAAATAAATTTACATTAACCTGCTTCCTGAGACAACACCATAAAAAATTAACATTCAGGTTACCTTTTTTTCCAGCTAATTATTTTCTAATTACATATTTTACACAGTCTATCTTTGGTTTGAAATTATTGTAAGGCTCAGTAATATAATATCACCAACTCCCTGTTCTATTAGTTTTTTAAATAAATTAAAGAATGATGGTATGGAATGAGTTAAGATCAATGACCCTAACTTGCTCTTGTATATTTAAAGTGATCAACTGTGATAATATGTAGATGTAGGTGCTGTGTAACTTGGAAATATATTGTTTATGTCTTTGTTTCTTTATTTACAGTCTGATGCTTTTAAAGCTGGCATCCATTTCTCCAGGAATTATCCTTCCAGTCTCGATCGAGTCGAATCATTGACTGAAGAAAACACGATAAGTAAACAAAACACATCATTTCACAACCAGTCGTCTTACCTGAAACCTCCAGAGAGGCAACAAATTCTTCCAAATTCCACAACCAAAACACCCAATCCTGACGCTCTAATGAAGGCCTCTGAACTGTCACACCTTAAAGCCCTAAATTTCATGCGTGGCATCATGGATGAGTGTACCCACCTGGGTAATTTCACCCCTCCTGTCGACCCTACCCTTTCTATTGTGGTTACAGCTAAGCATGATGCATATGTGCCGAGGGATGGCATTGAATCTGTTGGGGATTTGTGGAAAGGCTGTGATATTCGTTACATTGATTCTGGTCACATTGCTGCATTCTTGTTCAATCACGGTGTTTTTCGGTAGGTACTGCTGTTAACTTTTAATTAACTGTTAACTTTTTAATTACCTTAATGTTCATATTTTGTTTCCTTTGAACTGCATGTGCATGTTTTTATATGTTAATTTGTTGTAGTTTAGACTTTTTCTGTAGGTCACTCATCTAGTTCAGCCTTAACATTCTTTGTTAACATTTTGGTTTTCAAGTTTTGTTTGTGGCAATGAGTTCATTTTTTTCATCAAAGTAGAATTTCTTATGAACTAAAATAAATTGGTGGGGAGGAAACTTTTAAAATTTGTAACTAAGAAGGTGCTCCAGTGGACTTATCATAAAGGCAGGGTTCCCAGTGGAACACCAAAGTCAAGCATCACTGGCAGCTGGCAGTAAGTGAGCGAATGACCACTTTGATCAGCGTGCTTGGGCCACAGAGGGAGTGCGGTATCAATCCTCATTAAACTGTTCCACTGTAAAGTGCTCAACTTCACGGGCAAAGCGATGAACCCATCCAATTTGCAAATCAAAATTGTGATGGTATGTCTTCAGATCATCCTCAGGGATGTTTTCCAGACTGTCTCCTAAAGCTCATTTTGCAGCTCTCTCGTGTGACGTAAATCAAGTATCTTGTAAATAAATAAAAAAATAATTATAATTTAGAAATTTTAATCACAATTATCTTTTTAATCTGATTTTGTACTTGTAACTAAAGTAAGAATCTTTTCATTTTTTTTTATTAGTTGTAAAAGTTAATTTTTGGGATAATTCATTTTATTTCTGATGCTATATTTACATTTGCTTACTTTATTTTTACATTTGCTTACTTTATTTTTACATTTGCTTTATAATCATATAAACATGTTTTTTTTTTTCATTTTTATTTAAAATATTTTAATTTTGCATCTGCATCCAAGTGAAGTAATTAAGCTTGTGAAAGCTATTTAAATTCAAAATGTTTTGTAATATATTNACATTTGTTTTATAATCATATAAACACGTTTTTTTTTTCATTTTTATTTAAAATATTTTAATTTTGCATCTGCATCCAAGTGAAGTAATTAAGCTTGTGAAAGCTATTTAAATTCAAAATGTTTTGTAATATATTCTACATCCATTTTGAATTTATATAATTACAGCTTTACATTATGTATGTAGACTAACAAAATATTTCCTAGTTTTTTGGACTACTATATGGTTGTAAATCTATTATTATTTTTATGTTCTTTATTCTGTTTATCTGCCATATTATAGTTTTTGTTTTGTCATTTTTTAGGAAAGCTATTATTGATGCCTTTGAGAATACAGCTCAAAAATACTATGGGCAAACCAGCATACTTACCGATGAAATGAAAGTAAAACAAAATATTAAATCATGACGAAAATCTTTGCCTTAGTTATTCAAACTAAATGATTTAGATTGTTTTTGAACATTGCCTTATGGTAGAAGTTTTGAAATGCATAGTCATGTATATACATATGTTATTGTAAATTGTTAATTTTGAATTTTTTTTCAAATTTGTATAGATTTAAATTTGCTGTTTGTTAGACAATTTTTAAATTACAAGTCTTGCTACATATAGTGGCTGCCATAATTTGATATGTTGGATTTTAAGAATTGTTTATAAAAATTTTTATAACAAAAAATGTGTTATAAATGTGTGACCTTTTATAATGTATGCATCACTAATAATTAAAGGCTAGCACCGATAAGAAACATATCAGTTCATTTTGAATCTTCGAACTTAGTTTGCTTGCCCTAAAGGAAACGAAATGAGATATTTTATAAAAATTCATCGAATGTTTTAAAGCAGGGCACGAAATTTTCACTCGTCTTCTTGCCATTAGCGAACAAATATTTAGGGCTCTACGTTTAGACTTGTGAAATATTGTGTTTGAAACTACTATATATTTTCCCAAAGTTTGCTGCGAATGAATATTAAAAATGGTGAACAAATGTTTCAGACTTTAACAGGATACGTAGCGTTTTTAAAACGTGCTTATTTTTTATTTACATTTTTTAAAAGCCCTTAAAGGTGCTTTTTTTATACGGGCTTAATTTCCTATCTTTCGTAAAGAAATTTTTTCTTTGACGTATTGATTTTGTCGTTCTAAGTTACAAAAAAATTCATGATTTTCACAATTTTCTCTGCAATATTTATCAGGAAGTAGTTATTTTATCATGATTATGTAAATTTTTTGAAAATGTTTTGAATTTTATTGATTTTTTGTATATAAATTAATAACTTTAAACAGTAGAAAAAAATAATTTTTATTACTGCACAGATCTTTTTTTTTTTTTTTTTTTTTTTNTTTTGATTTTTTTTGGAAGGTGATTAAAAATATTTTGAGTGCTTAAAAGGTGCTTATTTTTTTGTTGAAAAATAAGGCTACACACCCTGTTTAAGAGTAGATTAATAAAACCTATGCAAAGATATGTATCTCAAAAAGATTGAAATCAATGTCATCATGTGTGTTAACAGCTCACACAAACACACAAAGTAGCGTCCAATTTTGAATCATTAGCTAATTTCATTCATTTCTTTTCAGAAATTGATTTATGTTCCTTTGCAAACTTTGTATGGCTTTCTAAAGATTCCATTAAATGTCCCCACATTGTTTTAGCAAATACATGCTACTACTTAAATTTGAATGAAGGCAATTATATTTCATTAAGAATACATCACTAAACTCTGCAAATGTTATCAATAAATTTTGAGTTAAAAATTAAACTGAAATTTGTCATAAATTATATTCAATCAATTGAAAAACTAGGGATGAAATTTCTTTGGGTATTTTTTGTATTGACAGAACTTTCGCGGTTGTCCTGGTATTCTTAATTTTCCCAGTGGGGAAAAAAAAAATTCTTTTGTCTCTTCATTATTTGCTTTTTGTTCTCTTAATACTGATTCTTTTGTGTGTCCGGAAAATTCCATTTCCTAATAATACAAATGCATATTTTAAAATAATTTAAGAATGGAAATAATTGTTTTTTAGGTCAAAATCTTTTTATTTCAATTAATAATTCTATTAAAAATCAAGAAAATTTTAACTTATATACTGTCTTCTAATTATATATATGGTTCAAGCATAATAAATATGCAAGATTTATTGTTTCTAACTTTTTTAAAAATTTTGTTTTATAGAAAACTCAATTAATAATTTTACATTTTTAAATTTTTATGATGTTGAATTAGGGGTCGCACAATTTATTATTTTCAGGTAATGCAGAAATAAATCTTTTAGTGTGAAGTTTTTGCAATTCCTCTCTTTCATCTAATTTTTAAAAGTACTATCAAGGAAATGCTATTACTAATCATAACTATTGCTATTTCTAATTTAATATGAAAGCTAATCATAGAATTTTTAAATGGTGAATTGAAGAATCATCCACTATAATTGAGGAATCATACTCTAACTGTAAAAAAAATGCTAAGCATCATTTCTACTGCGTTTTCGTTTCAAGATTACTGAGAAACCTTTAAAAATTATTTGATTAAGGATGTTCTGAACCCAATTACAAATTTTAAATAAATATTGATGTAAGAGAATATCAACTAATGTTGGCAATTTTTTTTTTTTTTAATTCAACAGTACTATTATACCATGTAAGTTTTCTATTTCTTGATTTCAAATTTACAAGTTATTCAGTGCTCCATATGTATATATAGATATATGTATAGCCGAAAACTGTTCAAAATTTCAATTCTAAACATTGTTATCCTGAAGCAAATTATGTTTTTTTTTTTTTTCAGTTTGTCATTTACCCTTTTTAAAAGTCTGGTATGCATCTATTATTCCAAAGTATGAGATTTTTGTACTGAATTTTTTGAAAAATGTCTTGTTTTTTTCTTTGGCATACTACGAAAGATGAAGAGATCTTCCTAAATTATACAAATTTCAATCTGAAACTTGAATAAGTTCAAGTAATCAATAAATTGTTTTAAAACTATTTTTTTTTTCTAGTTTATTTATTAAAATGAATTGAACTCAATGTAGATTTTAATGGAATAAGGACTGATGTCAGTTTTACTCTGCAGCTAAAATAACCTAAATTATTTTATAAATCCTTTTTAAAGTCATTATTTTGTTTTCTTTTTGTTTCATTTTATTCTCTGTGTAACGTCCCATAGTGGACTGATCGTAAGACATGATTCTCAGTTGAACACTGAAGTCAATGAGTGGGTGGGTGATCACTATGATCAACTTGCAAAGAAACCGAGCGTGCGCGATATCTGTCCTTGTTAAATCTACTATAAACGAGCTCGACCATGCGCCCAGATCGTCGGAATACCACAGAAGGGGAGCCATACTTCTCTGTGGATGAAATAGTGGTGGAAAGGATAAAATAGGGGTGGCAGATCAGTTTCCTGGATCATCACCATAGCCCATTCTGAACTGCAGTAGCTTTGGGGATAGAACATTCGGCTCTCCCTGAGATGACCCAGGTTTTAAGCCCAGTATTGGCTGGTTGGTACAAATTCCGCTCCTGGCTAGCATCGACTACAGTGCTGACAGATCGTGGGTTAGAATCCCCTATCTGTCGGGCTAACTGTGTGAGGTTTTCCTCTCCATGTAACCTGATTGCTGATTAGTTCCATCAAAAAAACTCCACAAAAGCTAATTTCTCCCAATGCTTGATCTAGGGATCTCCCAATCCCCATCCTTGTCTTCTGTGTTGGGTTCAAACTACAAGGCTACTGAATTGATAGTTGTAAACTCAGAATTGAGTTGACTGTTCAACGCCGGTTTTAAAATAAAAAAATAACCCATTATGTAGCTCTTATGCGCCGTAAATAATATTACTGCTACTACTCTTCACTGTGTAATGTGACTGAGATAACTTAATAAAACAAATTTCTTGGTCCGTAGTTCGAGATAAATCTTGAGCTATTGCACGATTTATGATTTTTTTGAAAAGAGTTTTTTCAGTTGAGTAGTTTAATTTTCCCTATTTAGAGAGTAGTTACATTAAGTTTTGAATTAAAATTATAAAAAAACTCACATTGCATTTCTGTTAGTCGTGACACAACAGATTAGACTGGTTGTAGCGTTTGAGAGCAAATGAATTGCAATCTACTATACTGCACTAATCTATATTCATTACTGCATACTGAAAATAAATAAAAATGGTTTTTGTTTAATTATGGTTGCCATGTGAATATGTAAAGCGATCAACAACAGACCTAGAATCATTGAATCCATGTTTGCCTTTAAAAAATGGCTATCTCTTAAAGTCTTATCAATTTTGATGAGATTCTAAAATCTTAAATGTTTTCACTCCTTCCTACCAACCTTTTCTGTAAGATTTCTTTTGTGAAAAAGGAGTTGCTTTGTTTGGTAATTAACAGTTGGATCACATAAGTTTTTTTTTTTTTTTTTTTGCTCTTGTATTACTGCAGTTTTCTATATACCAAAAGAAGGGAGATGTTTCGTTTCCCGTTTCTCGGTGCACAATTACGGCATGATTAACTAATCAACAAGAGATTTTAAAAAAAAGCTAACAGAGTACTCTATAGCCCTACCTCACTATTCCACTGCTTGAGTCCTGCAGTGGACTGATCGTTAAGACACGGTTCCCACTAGATCACCGAAGTCAAGTATCACTGGCTGCGGTCAGTGTACGTTGGGACTGCGGGTGTGCAGTATTGGTCCTCGTTAAACTGTTCTATCGTAAAGTGCTCGACTTCGCGTGCAGATCGTCGGGCTACCGAAGTAGGGGTGCCATCCCCTCTGCAGATGATCAAAATTGTGATGGCATGTTTTCGGATCATCCTCAAGGATGTTTCTCATACTGTCGCCAATAGCCCATTGTGCNTCCCAGACCGTCGCCAATAGCCCATTGTGCAGCTCTAGTGCGACGTAAATGAACTACAACAACAACAACCTTCCGACCAACCTTTTCTTTAAGATTTCTTTTGTGAAAAAGGAGTTGCTTTGTTTGGTAGTAAACAGTTGGCTCACGTAAGTTTTTTTTTTGCTCTTGTATTACTGCAGTTTTCTATGTACCAAAGGAAGGGAGATGTTTCGTTTCGCGTTTCTCGGTGCACAATTACGGCATGATTAACTAATCAACAAGAGATTAAAAAAAAAAGCTAACAGAGTACTCTATAGCTCTACCTCACTATTCCACTGCTTGAGTCCTGCAGTGGACTGATCGTTAAGACACGGTTCCCAGTAGATCACCGAAGTCAAGTATCACACTGGCTGCGATCAGTGTACGTTGGGACTGAGGGTGTGCAGTATTGGTCCTCGTTAAACTGTTCTACCGTAAAGTGCTCGACTTCGCATGCAGGTCGTCGGGCTACCGAAGTAGGGGTGCCATCCCCTCTGCAGAGGATCAAAATTGTGATGGCATGTCTTCGGATCATCCTCAGGGATGTTTCTCATACTGTCGCCAATAGCCCATTGTGCAGCTCTAGTGCGACCTAAATGAACTACAACAACCACTGCTTGAGTTGCATACAGACAACCAATAGTGATATTTTAATTCAGTTCTGAACAGCGCAGCCATGAATGCAACGATACTTTTGCTATCCAACAAACTTATGAACAAGACTAGGCTATTATTTTTGAAGGATTTAAACAGATAAAGTTGGGATCCGTCAGTAATGTTGATAAAATCGTATTATTACGATTAAAAAAAAAACACCCCTCTACATGAATCTTCATGGGGCTATATGAAATCGCTGACCCTGATAGCATTGGTGAGAGAAAAT